GTTCTATTGTATTGTTAGAATTTTGAACCTGTACAAGTTTAACGCGCATCACTCTTTTCTCAGTGGGATATTAGTGAAACTAGATTAGAGACTTAAATAATTACTTACGTCGCGCACTATGAGGCAGCTTGAGGGCTATAGGAACTCGAAATTCTGAATCACCGTCAAATGACGAGAATGATACCTGAGCTAGCATACTTCTCACCAAACCATGCAGGACTTTGAGCCATGTCAGATACGTGGATCAGCGCCTCTACACGGCGGGTTTTCAATTGCTCTAGGACTCGAACTCACGATACGCCAGCCACGAGCTTGTGATTATGACCACTAAGCTACCTCGACCACATTATTCACTTCAAAAATTCAACAAAAGATATTTCTGTGAATTTTATAATTGTTGTGACGTTACGCATTGTCAATTACTTAAAGTTTTTAGTGATTTAATAAAATAAATTTTAAATAAATGGCTTTTGTATATCTATTTTTGTATAATAAGGAATCAAACTTTCCTGATTATAGTTTTACGTCAGGAATGTCAAAAATAGCTGAATTCGTAATCTTAATGAATGAAAGCTGGGCCTTACCCTTGTCCAGAGAATATCCTGATGTAATCTCTTTCCAGGGTCCTCTTCTTAAAGACCACGCAAGTCTTGTCCTCGTAATCTTTCATGGCTTCCAGGATTCTGGCTGCGTGTTGTTCTGTAATATTAAGAATGGAGAAGAAATTATTTAATACGTTGCTCTTGTAAAAACAGGTATAAAATGTATTCTTGTCTAATTTAAAAATGGCTTCTCGCAGGGTAATTGACATTAACAATTTGAAGGGTTTGAATTTTAATTTAGATGAAATAATAATGAGCGATCGAGAACAATATTTCAGAAAGAATGTTTTTGTTAATAAATATACCATAATAGTAGTAATGCATATTAAATAAATATGCAAATTAAATCATTCTTTTGATTCCATCCTTCAATTCCTTGTACTTCCATTAATTGTAAAATCCGATCCATCCGCAGAATTTATTTTATGTGTAGATCAGTACTGATGCATTCTCTCCAATATTGTTTAAGTTTTAGTATCTATATCGAAATTTGACCAAGTTATCAGAATAAATAAGTGAAAAATACATGAACTAATGCGTTCACCTTCTTGAAAATGATTCAATATTAGCGAACAATGAGTCCTCGCCTTAAAAGTGTAGCATTTATTGATGAAAGCGCGTTCTCTAAAGCAAGAGTAAAATCTGTAAAATGGACTTCTACAGCTCAAAAAACCGCACTGAATTTTGTACATAAAAATATTTTTGAAGAATGCAATAAGATGAATATGGGGGAAAGAGTTTGAGACCAACGAGTTAAGAATGACAGAGATCTCGTCCTCGTCACTTGACCGAGGCTCGAAATGACGAGATGCATCGCCAATAGCCCTCGTGCCTCTTCAAAGTGGAGCTGAATAAAAAATGAAATCGAGGCAATCGGATCGCACAGTGTGCATTTGTTATCTATCACAACAAAACTATTCTTTGTTTACTTCCATCACGCTTTATGTAAACAACGGAATCAGGATATCGATAAAGAATGAATTTTTTAAAAACAATGATAGTTTTTAATTATCTGGTGTTTAATGAACTTTAGACACTCTCCCTAACAAACCAGATCGATGTATTATTAAAACACCTTACATTTCGGTAGATATTTTAAGTTATGAATTCAAAGCTTTTAAGAAAGGAAGACACCCGTATAACACTTCAGGCGTAAGATGACGGAATAGGTCAGAAGAGGGCAGCACCGACTTACGCAGAGAAGCATCTATTTCATAAGCTACGATTCCACCGGGCCACCTCAGCTGAAAACCGGGGATCACATTCTTGTCCTGAGAACGATAAGGTAAATATTAGCAAATTAACTTAAAAGAGTCAACAACTTACATTCATTTAATAGTCGATGCAAGATTATTCAGATAATTAAAATCAATATCAGACTTTGTGTTTGTAGCGCGCCCTTCCCACTCAAAATTCAAACGTTAATCAAATGATATCAGACAGTGGTGGTATGGAGAATATTAGGGCACCCCTGCAAACTCAGGTTTTGGACCTCAAGCCCAAATACGTACTTAGCGTCAGTCGAGCTTTGGGGGTGTACGTCGCGCTTCTGATATCAGAGGTTTTGATATTTTAACGGAATTATGGAACTTGCTATGATTATTTTGTAAAATTTTCTGCATACCAATGACAGTTGTAAGTGTTACAAGAAATAAAGTTTAAAAGGAAAGCAAATACAAAAGATATTAAATGGAATTAAAGCTTAGAAATCACAAAATGAATAGTCTTTTTAAAAATTTTGTTCACCCCCGAGATTAAAACTCAGTTAAGATTTTAGAATAATCAATCCAAGATATACATTTTTATATAACAATTAATCTAATTTGATTAATTGTTTATTTTGACATTGCACTCACAAGCTACATGAGAATAATTTGAATTGTAATTTTGAATCCCGATCAAGTGACGAGGATGGCTTCTGAGTTGGTCTCCTACACTCCAAGCTTCCACTCTATACTGACGCGAGAAATTTGAATCTGCACAGAATTAAGTTTATCAGCCTTCTACATGGTGGGTCTTTACTTGCACCAGTATTCGAACATGCATCTCGACAGAAATACCGCTGGCCTCGAGTTTGCGACCACGAACACTTGGCTATATCGGCCACATAATTTGTCTCGGAATATTTTGCTCGGAAATATATAAGGGTTGCCCATATGAAAAGTGTACAAGTTCAATAATTATTGGAAAGCAAAAAAAAATCCCTTTGGGGGTTGTAACACAGATCCCATCGTTTCGGCAGCAGGCCTATGTATTTCTTGACTCTAGAAAGAACGCGATGAATTCTTGAGGAAGTCCTGCCCAGATTCCTTCACTTCATCGTCCAAACAGAAATGTAATACTGTCTTAATTGGCCTAAAGGCCTAGAAGTCACAGGGTGACAAATCTGGACTATACGGTGGGTCTTCTAACATTTCCTCAGAGATTTTTTTAAAGTTGCCTTGGCTTCACGGGAGATGTGTAGTGTGGACATTGTCATGGAGATACCATATCGCGTTGCTGCCCTTCTCGAAAACTTTTACACTTACTGTTCCAAGACATTCGAGCTAAGTAGTGCACGCCATAGACTGCCACTATTCATCGATAGATATCCGCTTTAAACTCACCTCCTGCAATCAGAAACCGTAATGTGGCAAGTTGTTCCGATCTGGACGCATCCTCATATGGCACGACTTTACTTTCGATTAATTTCCTCTGCCTCTAACCGGTTTTACTGTTAAATGTTGTATGCGATGTACACTTCCTACCGTTCTCAATGTCCCTGTTTGGTGTTTTTTTTATAGCTGCACTCATTCTGACGCAATCGCATAGGTCCACTTTTCATTTGGTCAACTTCTGTATTTATTTATACGAGTATTTCGCAAAATCGTTTTTGTAAGTGTGTTAAAAAAACGGACTTTACATTGTATAAACATGTCTGCACAACTGAAATGTTACAGAAAAATTCGAGCGAGGATGTTGAAATCGAGTATTATGTTCGTGCCCTGATTCTACTAAATTTTTCTGTATGGTAAATGAAAGGGATTCTTAGAAATATCGAACGCTGAGAACATTTGGAAATGAGGAACCAACTCCTGATTCGTTTTTTCATTTGATTATAATTACAAATTATGTTTCATTGTTAGAAACTCTCGTAATTATATATTTCGCGGAGTATTAACTCAAAATTTAAATTTTTATACAGTCTGCTCCTTTATTTACATAATTTTATAATATAATTTAAATTACTTTACATTATTATAATTTTCTTTGATTATATAAAGTTAAAAATCGTTTTTGTAATTAGTTTTGTCATCGAGTGAGAGAGAGAGAGAGAGAGAGAGAGAATATGTCTTATACACACAATGGAAGGTGTTCTTCTAAATAAAATTATACAGACTACGATATCAAGGTAAAAAAAAGAAAATAGCCAAATCAATAGCTAAACAAGAATGAACATGACACTTTGAAAAACAAATTTCTTTTTTAAAAGATATCTTTAAAGTTAATTTTTATAAAATTATAAAAATACTAATTACTACATTATTATATTACTATTTTGTTACATGAGAGAGATATCCTCTTTTTTTTCTATATTCAGTATAATCATTTATCTACTCAGAAGCATAAAGAAAGTAATTTATTTTATTCAAAATCCTATGAAGGGAAAATGATGAAATGGACCTATGAAGGGGGTTTACGCATGTTTGAATTTATTCTTTAACCTTCTTTTTTGTTTACCATTTTAAGAAGTTCTTGTAGTTGTTTTTTTGTCACAGTGAGTTGAATTATTTTCCAACAGGTTTTTATTCTAAATTATTTTTGTAAAACGTAGTTACTTTAATATCTAGTAGTGGAGTTACTTTAGTGTTGCAGTTTGTTAACATGTAGTTTTAGTTGTTTACACACCATACTTTTTGTTTCAGAACACACAAAAGCATAATTGATAACTGAATTATTTGAGAAAGAAAAATTTATACTTACGTTAGGATCTATTCCCAGCATGTCGCCCCCAAACAAATCGGGATTCTGCATCGGATCTGAAAATTTAAGCGAAGTTTTCAAGAAACATTCATGTATGGAATTTCATCCGGCTAAAAATGAATTATTTGCATCAAACTAATTAAATATAAATTTTTTTATAATAAAGCTCTTTTCCATTAATTTTATGTATCTTAAAAATTATATTAAATAATAATATTAATAATAATAATTTACGTTAATTTTTTCTTGAGGGAATTTAACCAATAATGGTCTTGAGTCCTTCAAGACTTTGCGCCTTAGAAGGCCTTTACGAATAATAAACATTTAATGTATATAATATATTAAATATATATTAAATATTTAATATATATTTGCATAATGTATTGTATAATACATTCTAATTCTAGAATCATTATAATATTAACAAAAATTGCCGCCCTACCTAATATGGAGGTTATGACACTCGGCTTGGAATCGAGTGGGTTCGGGTTCGAATCCCGAATAAGGCATGGAAATATCTTCAGGGAAAGAAGTCGGTGTTTCGCCTGAAATGGATTCCCGTCTCGAATGGAAAACATGTTCAATGCTGGGATCATCATTTGTAATAAAAAGTCTATTTTTTTTTTGTATTGTATGTTTCTGTTCATCTACCTCTCGCGTCTTTCGTATGTATCCCAGTATGAAACACATGTCAACAACAATTAATAGAAATAGAATGATGCTAAGAACTGATTAGTTTAATTTTAAATACCGTTAAGTTCAGCGTATAATGCGCACCTACACTTTCGAACTGCATTTTTTAATTTTTAGGTATATTCACCATATAACACACACCCCTTTTTTAACGAAGCCTGAAATGCACATATGCAGTGCACTTATGTTTTGAGAAGTCCTTTTTATTCTAGGATATCCGTTTTTTTAAATAAATTATATACTTTTTAGAATTACAAGTCTTGAAGTTCATAAGGCATGTCATTTCTTTAAAAAAAAGTATTCCGATCTATGTAGAAGTCAAATATTTTTATGCTCTTCTTTTTCTTTCATTTTTTACATAATTTTTTACCCGGCGTATAACGCGCGCACCCATTAAGTCCAATTTTAATTTTTGTTATAAAAGTGAGAGTGACACGCCAAGGATTTTACGGTAAGTAAACTGCAACTATTATTTAATTTTTTTAAAGTTAAATTTCCTTTTCGAAGTGCTGCATATTAGAACTCATAATAATTCAGCATGATCTCGCTCATTCTAACATTGAACTTTAAAAGTTTATTCCACTTACCGAATCCGTTGTTTAAAGGTATGGCTGCTGAACAACTGATAAGAGCTAGCAACAGCAACATAGCTTCCGCCATTTGCAATCTTCAGTAAACACGATCGACGAAAGTTACATTTTGTGGCTTAAATCCTTTATTTTATGAGATAAGTTAACACATTTGCTTTGGGACTCGAGAACTTTAACACCTGTGGCAAAAATAAAAACATAGATTGGGAATCACTTCTGCTTTTGTAAAAAAACTAGCATCGAACTTTAGAACACTTTTTCTGGTTTTGATTTAAGCAATGTGTATCACAATTTCGTAAAACCTATTTTTATTACATTGATTATTTGCAAATGTCTTTTGAATATTAACACTAGATTTTCCAAAGAAATTTTGACGGCTTTTTAATTTCAATTAGAAAAACAATTATACGTATAATGCACAATTTCTTAGAATTTTTTTGATTATATATTTTTCAAAGTGCAGTATATTTTTTTATAGTTAATACTTACTAATAACTTGTTATATGACTGTAAATAAAATGAAAAATATTAAAAATTAGTTTTAAATAAATTTCTTTACACATTAATCATTCTTTGACAATGCAGTCATTTTGACTGCTTTTGGGCAATATAGGTTTGTACTCATTTTCTAGTGTTAAATATGTTTGTTAAAACTTTATATTATAGAATTTCATCATTTTAACAAGAAATTAATGTTTTATTTTCACAAATTAAAAGATTATTCGCTTTATTTCTGTAACAGTATGTATACACATTGCCTTGAAAAAGTTTCCTTTTTGTTAAATGAATCATTTGTGTTTTAGATACAAGAGATTTATTTAGTAAAGACATTTCAGATTTTTTCCGAATTCATCAATTTAAACAAAATATGAAAATAAACTTGAGAAAAAACGGAAAACAAATATTAAATAATATTAAACAAAAATAATTACATTATTTTCGTCTTTGATCCAAAATAGAGATTTCGAATGCATAATTGAAATAATGATGTAAAACTCTTGCCAGTGTAATTTTGCTGTCCAATCTAATTTTCAAAGAGCTTTTGAAAGACACTTGAACCACTCAAGAAATCAGATTAAAATGTTTCAGTCAGATTTTGTACAAGATTTTACAATCGTCAAAACTTTTACTGAAAATTTCTTGTACCTTCAAGATAAATATTATTTTTACAAGCTTTTATTTAATTTACAATGTAATTTGTTCGGGTGGAATCTTGCAATTCAATTTTGAAGAGCTGATGTCTTCAACCGATTGAGCTGAAATTTTATATACACGTTTAATTTGAATGACAATGCATGTTTTGACCATTTATATTCCGATATTGCAATTAGTTAAAATATTAATTAAAAAGCTGAAACACATAATTGTTCTACGCCTGTTGGCTTTTTATTTCGCCGAGTGGCTTTTCAGATCGAGCTTAAAGAAATTCCAATTTTTTCGATGTTTTTAAAAAAGCTATCTTATTCTTTCTATCAAACTAAGACAAAAAATAATAACAGAAGCAGAAAGATAATTTATTTCGCCATGATACCCCCGTATAAATTAATGGTATTTTCTATTTTTTACGATTTTTCCTGAAATGAGTCAAAAATCGATGCGTTTTCATGAAAATGATTTCCAAGTCATTCTGTATAAATTTTTTTTCGTGAAATGAATCGATATTCTACACTAAGATAGTTCATGCTTTTCTTTTTTAGAATCAATCCTTAAAAAAATAAAATGCCCAAAACATTTTTTTCAATTTTTCAAATATACTCAAATTTTTAATTAAACATTTTATAACTTCGTCATTTATAAAGATAATCACATGAAACTTTTTTCCGTTTATAGAATAGTATTATCCAAACTCTATACAAAGATTGAAAAAAATTGGTTTAAAATTACGGATTAAAATTTTTTTGTGTGTTTTTCGTTTTTAATATAACATTAAAAATCAGTTTGTGACGGGCTCAGTGCGATTTCGACTAAATATCTTTTTGGGTTTCTTTGGGGCCAGAAAGGCAATTATTTCCATTCAACTTGAGAAGTGAAACGTGAGAATGCAAATTATGGTACACAATTTATGGTATAAAAGCCTGTCGCGAGATTTACCTTGATCTGATTGATTTTATTTTTAAAATTTTCAAACTAAGTAAATACGAGTACCAAAATCTCGTGACAAGCTTTTATACCATAAATTGTTTGATGACGTTATAAATTGATGGTAAAAAAAGTTTTAAAAGAAGTTTATTTTATTCTTTTTAGAACATTTAAAAATAACCTTGTTTGTAAAAAAATCTTTTTTTAATTTATTTAATCTATTTTAATAAATATAGCTCTCAATTACTAGTCTCTCTCGAAAATTATAATGAGTTTATAGATCTGAAATTCAATGGCTGTGGAAGCAATCAAGACCCAAACTATCTATTTATCACCGCAATATTTTAAATTTATTATGATAATGCTTGATATTTATTATTCTGTTCTTATTCATAGTATTCAGAATTTAATAGATAGTTTTTGGTTTCAGATGATGCAAAATAATTTTTTCTTTAAGAAAAATTGAATAAAACGTAAAATTGTAACCCTTAATGTGAATTAAATCAATCTAATACGCAGAAAATAGTAAATAAAGTACAAAATTTACTTATATCAATAATTTTATTATTTTTTTATTCTGTATCCAAAACTCACTAAATTATTTCAGAGAGAATTTTAAGCATTTTTAACTATTTCAGCCAGTTTTAAGTACCTATGGAGGCATAATTTAATTAATTACACTGATCGCTTGACTGAGTATTTTAGGGAATAAATTTTCAAATTTTCTTTAATAAGACACTCAAAAAAGCAACTACATTGTTCGGTGATATCTTTAAGTATGGGCATTTCATGTACTACTTTATTTGAATGTTCAGAAAGAATACAAATTAGGCTGAGGTTAGAAATACTAAGGAGGGGGAAGGGCTTAAGTATGGAAATTCCTTTATATGATAATATATTACTCATGACTTAATTGCAATGTAATTGATGAATTCCAAAATATCCAAAGTCTTTGACTTTGTTCATCAAAGCAAATTGTCAAGAAACTTCTCATCAAGGACAGAAAATAAACTCTGCATTTTAAACTACATGAATATTATGTTCCACATATAAAGCGACTCTGGAACAATAAAATGAACTTTAAAGGGCAATATAGGCCACTAAACAAATGTTTTATATAGCACTGTATAAATGTATAAAATGCGTTGAGGCACAAACACACAAACATGAAAAAAGTTCGATAGAGGAATTATTGTTTACTTGCAATATCATTGCAAAGTAATTTTTTTTATAGCAATGTAAAAATAAATGTTTAAAATTATGACTAACAGTTGTAATTCTAAGTTATGTTATGATGAAGTTATTGATGAAAGAATATATCCTAAGTTTTTTTCAATAGTATTTCTGCAATAAATTCGCTGTCGCTACACATGAGTATTGTACATATTGGAAAAATTGTTGGTAAAAACCACCTCACATTTGTGAATAGAACGCGAAGTGGGAAGCCTGGTTGCAACAGATTCTGTTGCTAGAACAAACGGTTGTATATCATGCGCAGAGGGTAACCTACTATTTGAGTAGCTTGGATTTTATTAGCAGGAAACGGGTGTGAACTTCTTCATTTGATATTTTGTAAGCGATGAGGTTATTCACATGCATACGACTTGCAACAGCTTTGGGGGGGACCTGTGGCGTGTTTTAAGGATCAATAAAGCTGTTTTCATTTGTGGATGCCGTATAATTCTCGACCGATCCCTTTCAACGGTGCTAAAGATGAATTAACCAAATTCTCACAGCTTCCGATGTCACCATTAAAATATTTTGTGATCCAGAATGTACGTCGACTCGAAAAACTTTCCTGTTACAGCCGTAATCCTTATTCTGATGTTATCAATAGAAGTTCCGTATGTTTAATGTGTATGTCTACCTTTTCCCCAACTGTGAAATACAGTTCGTGACTATGACCTTTATGTACCACTTTTTGTCGCGCATTTGAAATACAAAATATTAGTTTCTTTACTGCTCCAAACCACTTCCAGGAAGGGAGGAATTAAATTTGAAGTTAAAATCGTTTACTATTAATTTTTTTCTGCAGCATTTTATACTTTGAAAGAAAATAAAGTGTTGTTTCGGTATAATTTTGTCTGTTATTTCGATTGGTTAGAGATTCCTTTTTTTAAATTTATTACATGAATTTAACTACTATT